ACCATTATCATCTCAAAAAATTCTCATAATCTAGAAATATTTTCTGACTTTAAATAACCTGCAAAAGGTTGATAAGCCGTAGAAAACGAATCAGTCAGTCAACACATCTGATTCAATAACCATTTTGAACCTTGTATTGAATGAACAAAAAATAGATAGAAACCTTTTCGTAGCTCCACATTTTTCCGTGTTGCCATTGCCTAATAACACAAGCAATAAAAATGACTGCGTCTTCAAAGACACTTAAGATTTTTCTAACGTTATGCAGAAAATGGCGCTAAAATCATTTTACCTCCAAGCAAAGCGATAAAAGTCACTAAAACGCAAAGGATTATAGAGATTTAAAAAAAAAAGCAGAGAGTACAAGAAAATAACAGGATTTAAGGAGACAGAAAGGGACGATTTAAATTTTTGAAGATCTTTGTTGACAGGAAATCAGGAAGCCGGAAAAGCGTTCCACAAGTGATAAACTATTAGCATAAAACTTACAGTTACAGCCAGCAATTTCAACATTGAAATTTTGTGACCTAGCTGCCAATCTAGTACTGCGCTTAAATTTTTGAAGTCGACATACCAAAACGAAAACTCATCAATACAATTGCCATGGAAATATTTAAAGAAAAAGTAGAGGGAAGCAACGTTACGTTCGTGTGAAAGTGACGGAAGATGAAATGCCAGGTCAAGACTGATAACGTTGCAGACTCTTTTTTAGATTTTATCAAGAATCTCTAAATATAAAGCAGAAACATCAGACAAAGATTGTAACAAATTTAACACTGTATTATTATTATTATTATTAGTGGGTTGTAATTAACTTTCTTTTATTTATCACCTCTGGCTCTACCTCTATGTCAATGAGTTTGATATTTTTTAGAGTTTAGCTTCGCCTGAGTAGCGTTAATGGATGGGTCATATGAAAGGGACCTGCGAACACGTGCCTATAAAGGGTGGCCGAGAGATTATGTGGGGACAGGCAATCTGGGCGGATAATGATGGGTCAGTAGACTGGGTTAAAAATGATAAATGACGATGTGTCATGTGACTGGAAAGAAATTATCCTTGTGATAGTAGGGTGACAATTTCAACATAACAGATGTTCACCCCCCCCCACACACACACACCTCCAGCCCCGTCAATTTTGCTACGTTGCGTTCTAGGCAGACGAAAATCAACTTTCCGATGAAAAGTGACAGCGCCCATCAATTTCGGTGAAGATTTTAGCTACTTTACGACCATAAGTCCATGCGACAAACATTTCCGAAGCGAGAATCTTTTTACGCATGCGTTTTTCCTCAAATGGGCAAAGGATGTTTGTTAAAAAAAAAAAAAGTCCTCTGTAATCTTTTTTTTTTATTGTAACATTTTATCTAGTGAAGTAATATTCTGATAGATACATGCATACATATACATAAACACACACACATATATATATATATATATATATATATATATATATATATATATATAACCAGGTGTAACAGCAAAATTGTCCAAATCGTGTAACAAGCAAAAGTGTCCATTTGTTAGATTAACATTTGAACCGTTGCATCTTGGAAATGATTAAAATATCTTACTGGAATTCTTCGGGGTTTTTATAACACTATTGGACTCTACTTTTGAGCAATAAGAATGTATAATTACTCTCCAAGCTTAACAAAAGAATCTTGATTAAATCGATCATAAGCGAAAATGATATATTCATCATTAATTAATCATAGCTGAGGATCGGAAGCTCATGAAGGATTGAAATAAAGTTCAAATATATATATATATATATATATATATATATATATATATATATTCCCCAAATTATTCAAGATCATCTCTCCATCTCTAACCTTCTAACTTTCTGTCTTGGAGTAACAAGTTAAGTTACCTCACACGTTTCACGTACGATTTCATTTTCAAGTTTTTTTTTCACGGCTCTTTGGACTGTCATAGCTGAAGCTCGTCTCTCACGTGCCAAAACGTCTTATGGATTGAGTTGGATCTTTTCTAATTGATCTCTTTAGCTCTAAGTTGAAATGATGATCCCTCTTCCTGTTGTGTCCGCCAGTTCCAGTTTACCGTTTACAGTTCTACCGTTCCCTCTTTTTTAAACAAATTTCTGTTTTTAAATAAACAACCTTTACACGATCTTTCTCGAACGATCATATCTGCTCGTAGCGTATCTTAACGTAAACAAAAAAATTGGTAGCAAAGTCAAAATACTGTCAAATTACTGTTTTTCGTTTCTTTTGTTTTGTTTTGTTTTGTTTTTTTTTGTTTTGCTAACCAGACCGCTTCATCTGTAGCCATAAAATTGTATTCAAAATATTTAGATTTCTTCATTAAATAACCTATAATGGTGAAATGACGATTCTGTGTATAATAAAGGGTCGATTCCTGTCGGAGGACACATATTTTTATACGAAATTTCTCGGGCATTCACGCCGGTAAATGTAATTAATACTGTTTATTATAAACAGAGTATTTAATTAAATTGTATCTATAAAAATAACGTATAAACAGAAAATATATTAAATAATTGTCGGACTTAGTCCATTTCATAATATATATATATATATATATATATATATATATATATATATATATATATATTAAATTAATTAGCTATTTTTGCCGTCAGTCATAAATTTTACTTAAATAATATTTAAATATAAATTTTTTAAAAATTGTGACCTAGTAATATACATACTTATACTTGATGTGAAAATAATTCTACACACTGTAAGTGATTCTAATACATTTACTTGTTCTTAAAAGAAATATAATATATTAAAAATTAAAAGTGTAAATATTTTTCAAATCATAGTTAAATAAAACGTAATCTAAAAAAAAAATCTTTAAATATACAAATAGAAAAAATGCCGTAAGAATTTTTGCCGTTAACAATAAAATTTTTTTAAAAAATCCAGACGACATGCATTTAACGGATGTCAGATTTCATTGAAAAATACATCCCTACCCCTACCAAAACGTAACTAATAACTGATACATCAAAATACAGCGATATTTCTCTGTATCCTTGGAAATGTGAATTATGATTTTAGCTGTGTCTTTAAAACCCAGTAATTTTAAAAGTTACTCCAAAATTCGCTTGAGGATGAAATGGAACTAATGTCTTTAATTTAATTACAAAATTAAATTCGAAGCTTTCAGCTTCCATTTTTGAAACATGGTTAGAACTGTGTAGCGAAAAAAAACATATTTTAAATCAATTAATTTATAATATATATATATATATATATATATATATATATATATATATATATATATATATCAGTACTAGATTAGCGGCAACTGCTCAATATTTTACAGTTCCATCGGTGAGAAGTAAATTCCACTCAAACAGCTTCGTCCCGCGGACCACTGCTCTGTGGAACCGACTCCCAAGAGGATGTTTCCCCGATCACTGCAATATTAACCTGTTCAAGTCTAGGGTTGGCCGTTATCTTCCCCTTCTATCCGCACAAATTGCCGCTTAACGTAATCCACTACCTTGAGCGACCCCGAGCCTAGTACAAGTATATTTAGTTATAAAATTGAATTTTTTTTTAAGAATGACTTTTTTGTTATTTATTTCGAATCTGGCCGTTTGCGGTTTTTAAAGAACCGATTGTTTCGTTGATGGTTTTCGTTATTAAGTTTCATAGTTATTCGAATAAAGCAATTTTCTACCCTAAAGGTGGTAACTATGTTAGCATTTAGATCACAGCTTGAGAATAAATGGAAGTAAAGCAACGTTAGCACTTTTAATATCATATTTAGGAAATCTTGCAAATATTGTAAATCATATTATAATATGTTGTATAAGAAATGAAAGGCAACCGCATTTTAAAACATATCAAACTGCTTTGATCATGGCAATTTCGTTAATACCATTTTATAGGATTCACAAATCTCTCAAATAAAGAAATGAAGCTGAGTGTCATTGGTGCTAAAGCATAAATTACTAGTGTCGCTCCGAAGGTAATGTCTCTTATTTTATTTGGGCCCACAATGTCAAAAGTGGATGTTTGTTATATGGTAATAAAAGGTTAACATTCCAACCAATAACCCATAGTATTTTTGGTTTGTTGTTTTGCTATACATAGCAGTCTGTCAAAATGGTGTCTGATATGAAACTCCGTACAAACCAGTAGTTTATTGTTGCATTCCTCTATACGAAAAAAAAAGCAAAAACAAAAACATGATCCATTGGTATTCATCGACTCTTGTTGAACGTTTAAGTAGACCAAACAGTGGACTTGAGCACAGTTAGACAGTGGGTGATGCGTTTAGCTTCGTTGACAGTGATGTGTGTGACAAAGTATGATACGGGAGAGCCAACACAGCCGTCAACCCACAAAATACTGAACCCTTGTTCATCGATAATGATTATGCACAGAAATAGCGGGAAACATGCCGCAATCCAACGATGTTATTGTGCTTGCTGTGTGGAATGTAGTTTCCATGGAAATAAATAAGAGTCGTTACTTTCGGAGCGCCTCACGTGTAATGGGAAAAATGAACAATGCATGACGCGCTTGTCTCGATCCGTTCGCGAAACGTGTTTGATCTGAAATATGGCAGCAAAATGAAAGCGAAAGGGAATCGAATTTTTTTCCTTTATATTTTTATAAGATCGACTGCCCATTCCCAAATTTTAAACGAAAGAGAGAAAAGAAAAAATAAGAGAGAGTAGAAAAGGAAAGAAGGAAAGAGATGAGAAAAAGAAAAGAAATAGAGAGAGAAAAGAAAAATAAGAAAGAGTAGGAAGAGAGATAATAAAAATGAGAAAGTAGAAAGAAAGAGAATAACAAATTAAAAGATTGAAAAAAGAGACGAAACAAATAAGTGAAAAAAATATCAAAAAAGAGAAGGATAAAATAAAAGTGTGAGAGAGAAGAGACAGAGAAGAGAGAGAGGGGGGAAAGAGAAGCGAAAATAAAAGAGAGAAGACGAATAAAATGGCGAAAAGGCGGAGAAGATAAGAATTGAGGCAAGAGATAGCACACAATATAGACAGAAATAAGAAAAAAGTAAGATAGATAAATAGATATGAATAGAATAAGATAGATAGATAGATAGATAGATAGATAGATAGATAGATATGAATAGACTAAGATAGATAGATAATAGATAGATAGATAGACTAAGATAGATAGATAGATAGATGTGAATAGACTAAGATAGATAGATAGATAGATATATGAATAGACTAAGATAGATAGATAGATAGATAACTATATAGATAGATAGATAATAGATAGATGAATGATAGATAGATAGATGATGAATAGATAGACTAAGATAGATAGATAGATAGATGAATGAATAGACTAAGATAGATGAATGATAGATAGACTAAGATAGATAGATAGATAGATGGATGGATAGATAGATGGATGGATATGAATAGACTAAGATAGATAGATGGATGATAGATAGATAGATAGATAGATAGATAGATGGATGGATAGATGAATAAGATAGACTAAGATAGATAGATAGATGGATGGATAGATGGATGGATAGATGGATAGATGGATGAATAGACTAAGATGGATGGATAGATAGATGGATAGATGGATGATGGATGGATGGATGGATGTGGATAGACTAAGATGGATAGATGGATGGATAGATAGATAGATGAATATGATAGATAGATAGATAGATAGATAGATAGATAGATAGATAGATAGATAGGAAAGACAAAGGATACAAATAAGAGAAACAAAAAGAACATACAATAAGAGAGAGAAGGAACCAGTAAATGCGTTAAGGCAGAGAGGAAAGAGAATTAAAATAAATAAGAGAGAGAAAGGGAAAGGATAGAAAAAGAGACGATAAATAAGAGAGAAAGTAAAGAGTGAGATGACACTAAAAGAAAGAAAAGAAAGAAAGGGACAAATACGAGTGAGGAAGAAAATATAAGTGCATGGTAATTATGGAAGAAACATATTTAAAGTTAACTTCGTCTAACATAAGAACACAGTTTTGAAGTTTTAAAACAATAGAGAACCTTTGTAGCTGAAATAGTTGAGGTTTCACTTTTCCACAGTCAATGTTTGAGACCATGCTTCGATGACTGGCGCAACACAGTCTTCTTCCTCCACATTTTTCTCCACTGATTTAGACGGTGAAAAGCTTAATAAACCTCAAAATCCAAGATTAGAATACTGATTTTAAAGATAGGTACATCTTCCACACTTGAATAATAGGCACAACACAATCTTTTTACTCACGTCTCTTATCGCTCCTATTTAGCCTTGTGTCAGAGTAAGCCAATTTAAAATTTGATGATCTACTCCGAGGATTGGTTAGATGCATATTTGCCGTTAGTACATGTGGGTTCGAGCCCAAGTGAAAGCCAAGATTTCGAACGATGATTTTCTACGTAGTTAGATTTCCCTGCTGGTGTAATTGGTGTAAAATAATGTTTCCCCTTCTCATTCTCCGTTGTCATAGTATCAGACTAAGATTTGTGTACATGTTAGTCTCGTAGACTCCCTTGTGGATCATAAGCTCACAGCCTCCCACACTCGGTGTTGCTGCTTTAGTTTCTGCAGCAAGCTGGAATTTTTAATACGATTTTTCGCCCAATAAATGTCCCAAAAGTCACTCAAGGTATAGGGTGACTAAAAGAGATTGTTTTCTGAGCGAAAGAGGAAGAGGTTGACTCGTTGATTTTGTTTAGCAGTACATCAACCTCTATGGATAATTTAATGCCATAATCTAAGTATTTTGAATACAATTTTATGGCTTCAGCTAAATATATTTTATACATAATTTTATAGTTTATATGTTTTTTAGATATATAATTTGTAGATCATAAAATGTATTGTTGGTGATTTTACTAGAAAAATGTATTTTTACATTTTTTTTTAGTGTTGCATTGATTGTCATTTTGCTATAAAAATCTATTGTTGCTCATTTTATTAAAAAATGTACCGATTTTTGTTGGAGAGTTCATTATTTGCCCATAGTTGTGACCCTAACAAGTGCTACCACTCTGGGGCAGCGTGGACCTGGGAACACCAGCAATTAAGAGGTGGTTCTACGCTCCTCAAAACCTCCTAATCAGTAGCCTTGCTGCTGGATGTAGTTTATCGTCATACCCAGGACGAAAGAGGAGAAGGTAAGAAGAACAGACTATGAGGATATGTAGGGTAGGTAACGGTTGATCACAGGTTTGAAGAGGTTAAGATTGGAGTGGACGAGGAAACAATCTCTCGTGAGTCTCTTCCACAGCGCAGCGTCTTTTAGGGGGAACCTATCCTGATGAAATTTCCCTCTTACTGATGAAATACGAAGAGCTTGAGGATAATTCAACTCCTTGGATGTGGCATGGCAGGTCTGAATTGGTGGAACTAAAGAATGTAACTTAGAACATTTTCTATGGAAATAGCGATGACGTAACGGTAGGATTACGATGTTTTGTATGTGAGAAAGGGATTGTAAGGTAGAAAATAATTCATCACTCACAAGGCCTTGTAGAAGCTTTTTAATTCTTTTAAGGCTTGAGAAGTGATGATTGTGCACCTCCAGCCCAAATATGGCAGCAACGCAACACTTCTGGTCTGAGCTGATTCTTGTAAAGATAAAGCATGGTAAACGAAGCCAGGTGCTTTCTGGAACAGTACAAGGAACCGACCATTTTACCAACAATTTTTTAATCATTTCGCCCCAAGCAAGGTAACAAAGCCACTAAGACGTAAAGGGTGACTGAGTGTTAGTGAATATTTGAAAAACTACTATTAAGGAGAGAGGACAATAAAAGAACAAGAGAGAAGATAACGACTGACATTGCATTTAAATTTTTGAAATTCAAAGTTGGCTGAAAAGCACCAAACCGGAAGAGAGTTCCACATGCGAGAAGTGCGATAGAAGAAACTGTTAACATAAAACTTACGGTTGCATCTAGATATTTCCAACTGTAAAATAATGAAACTTTACCGCCAATTGCGCTTAAATTCATAAAGTTTAGATAGCATAACGGAAACTTCATCAGAACAATTACCATAAAAAAAATTTATAGAAAAGGCACAGGAAAGCTACATTACGGCGGGGGAGGGGGGATTAACTAAAGCCGAGATGCCAGGTCTGGGCCAATAACATTACAAGAGCACCAGACTAGATACGGCAGCAATATTCAAAGTAAGGACGAATGGTAGACATATAAATATATGATAGATCTTTAGCAATGGATCGTATACATGTGTTAAACATCTGAGAGCTAGGTGAAGCTGAATCTTAGTAAACGTTCAATGCAAAGAGAGGGTGGGTAATGGGAGAGAATGCAGTTAATTGATGAGAAATAGTTACTAGTCTATCTTGTAACTTTCACACCAGTTTTCCCCCTATTGAGCGGATAGGTACCCGCTCCAGTAAAGGGTGGAGGTATTTTTGCTAATTCCACGTCCAACACATTTTTTATAGTAAAAAAAATTTTAAAAATTACCAGCAATATATTTGGAGAAAAAAAAATTAATAAAGCTGATAAGAGAATAAAATTCCGACATTTAGTGACCCATAAGGAGTTGATATGCCGTTAAACAAACAGGCAACTGTTGTGGCCTTGTTAGGGGCCAGAAATAAAGACACAAGAGCGGAATTGAGTTAAACAATTATATTAACAGAAACAGTAATACAAATATATACAAACGAGAGTGCTACAGCAAGAATGTTCGGTCCGACTGTCAGAGCTGACTGCTGGAAACTTTCATCTCCAAAAAGGCAGTACCTGCTCCTATTTATAGTTGGGAGAGTCCATGTGTGCGTGGGTGAATTACAATAACAACAACTCATTTGCCAGAGACGAAACGTCGCAAGCTCTCACTGCTCTATCTCTCTTTCCATGTAAAGTTTTAAAAAGAAATACATTCCTTGGTTCCACCAGTTCTTATCTTTGCGTCGAAGACCCGCCATGCTACGCACTTTATAGCGAATTATCCTCATTCCTTTCATAGATTCCTTTGGCGAGATGTAAGTTCCACTCGAACAGCTTCGAACAGCTACTTTGTGGAACCACCCACCAAGACGATGCTTTTCCGATTACTATAATCTTAACCTGTTCAAGTATAAGGTTAACCGTTATCCTCCGCACATATCCCCATAAACTGTACCTCTTACACTATAACCATCTACCTCGAATGGCTCTTGAGCCTTGTACAGAATGAACATTATTGTAAAAAATATTCAATTAGAGAAAAAAGTTAACAAGTGCTTCTTTTATATTACCCAGTTCCTTAAGAAAAATAATTCTCAGACGAATTACATTCCTTAACTTTACCAGTTCTAAACTTCGTGACTAAGACCCAACATGGCACGCACCTTGTAGCGAACCACCTTCATTCCCTTCATCGATGAGATGTAAGTTCTACTCGAAGAGTTTCTTCCCGTGCTTTGTGGAATCGACACCCAAGATGATGCTTCCAGGTCACTACAATCTAAATACAAGTCGAGGGTTAACCGTTACGTTCGCCACATATCCCCATAAACAGTGCGTCTATAACTCTCTAACTCGAGTAGCTTTTGCGTCTTGTACAATGTGAACATCATTGTAAAAAACATATATTTTCGTGCATGTCTTAAAGCAATGATTAATCTCACAAGTTATGAGAGATTCACAATTGTGCATACACATGTGCGCTTACGTGCAACTCTTTAGTAATCTCAGTACAACTCTGTGTGTGTGTGTGTGTGTGTGTGTGTGTGTGTGTGTGTGTGTGTGCATGAGCGCATGTGCCAAGGATTCAAATAATAATCACAATCAATGCGAAATCGATATATCGATTTACTGTAGAGGATTTATTTTTTTCTTTTTCTTTTGGACGGCACACATTATTAAAATATGTCATTAAAAAAAGAAAAAAAGGAGTGACTCAAGGCTTTATTGCTTTATATAATGACCGACATAAAAGGTTTTATTCATTCATATATATTCATACACACACACACACACACACACACACACATATATATATATATATATATATATATATATATATATATATATATATATATATGTGTATGTATGTATACTTAGGCAGCAAGAATTCATGCAAACAAGTTTTATTAAATTCTACCGACAAGGTCTGTCTGTTTATTGTTTTATTACATTTTTCCAGCTTGTGTATAAGTTGCCATACATCCGGATCATATTTGTGGATAAAGTTTTTCATGTTTTGTTTGAGAAGATTTGGTCATCTCTAGTTTTTATCAGAAACGTTCCTATTGTGAATACCACAGAGAAAAAGATTCTGTTAGGTTCATACTGGAATTTTAGGAATGCTGCATTTCTAATTTATTTCTGTGTGTCTCTCATCAATACGCGGCCGACAACATTGCAGCCATAGAAGGGAAACTACAGGAACTCCAAGACAAAATGGTAAAAGAAAGAGAGAAGAAAGTACTAACCATTAATTGTAAGATGACAGAACTTATGCTTATTAGCAAAAAAGACTGTCCAAGATGTGAGATCGAGATTGGCGATTTCAAGATGAAGCCATTGCAGAAATTTAGCTATTTAGGGAGTGCTGTAACAGTTAACAAAAATGTGGCACAAAAACACTAAGGTGCATTGGAATCGCGAAAGATGCTTTCCAAAAACTAAACACAGTATTAAGAAACAAGAAAAGTTCGTTAGAAACAAAGGAAGGGGTGCTGAAATGCTATGTAATATCAATCTTCCTATATAGCAGCGAATGCTGGACAAATTTACTAATAGACTAACAAAAGATTTCA